GTGCTGACTGCCAGCTCGGAGCCTGGAGCCTGTTTCAGTCTGTGACTCCCTCTCTCTCTGACCCTCCCCTGCTCACGCTGTCTCTCTCTCTCTCTCCTAGAAATAATAAATTAAAAAAAAAATTAAAAAAAAAACAAAAAACAAAGATTCTATCATTCTTCAACAAAAAGAAATGAAAAACTGCTGCATGCTACAACATGGATGAGCCTTGAAAAGAATATGCTAAGAGGAAAAAAAACCCAGATACAAAGAACTGCATGCTGTAGGATTCCATTTCTATGAACCGTTCAGAATTGACAAATCAATCAAGAAGAAAAGTAGATTAGTAGTTGCTGGGGCTGGGAGGGGATGGGGGATGGGGATGGTGATGGTGCAGGGTTTCTTTTGCAAGTGATGAAAATGTTCTAAAATTGATCGTGGTGATGGGTGCACAACTCTGAATACACTAAAAGCTACTGAATTGTACATTTTTTTTAATTAAAAAAATAATGTTTTTATTTATTTCTGAGAGAGAGAGAGAGAGCGCACGAGCGAGCATGAGCAGGGGAGGATCAGAGAGAGAGGGAGACACAGAATCCGAAATAAGCTCCAGGCTCTGAGCTGTCAGCACAGAGCCTGACACAGGGCTCAAATTCATGAACCGTGAGATCATAACCTGAGCCGAAGTCAGATACTTAACCAACTGAGCCACCCAGGCACCCGAGAACTGTACACTTTAAATTGGTGAATTCTATGGTGTGTGAATTATATCTCAATAAAGCTGTTAAAATTAAACAAACCCAAGGGCTTACAGCACTGGCAGAGGAGAAGCCAATCACTGCTTGAGACCTCGTAACACACCCCCATAAGCCAACGGGCCTTCCCTAAAACTTTCAAAATGGGTAGGGGGAGTGGTGAGCAGGGAATTAAGAGATTACAACCAGCTTCTGAGAAATGAGTCCAATCTCCCTCCTCATTATTACCCATTTCAAGGCTGGAGAAACTAAGGCCCAGAAAAGAGAACTGCCTGAAACATACAGAACTCAAACCCAGAAGGCCCAGGCAGGGACCACTTCCTGCTATAAGACTCTGTCTCCTCACGAAACGAACTGGAAGGTTCTTAGATGCCAAACAAAGGGTCTTTGCTAACAACGCTTGATTGTTACAAAGCCTCCTAGGAAGAACCTAGACTGTCCTGGGGAAATTGCAAGAGAAGAAATCGGCCAAGCTCTGAGGTGGGCCAGGCACTCATACACTCCATAACCCCAAGCATGGGTGGACTTTTTGGGGAAAAAGAAGGAAACTGAGACTTTGCCTGAAGCCATAAAACAGCTAAGCAGGAGACCCTAGGGTTTTAAGTCAGGCGTGCCCAGCTCCAAAGCCCCAATTTTTCCACATAGCCATACCTCCACACCACCCAATAGGTCCCCTGACGGGGAACTCCCACGCTTATTCACCATAACACAGCTGGGCATAAATCACTGCCTGCCAACTCTGAACCTCACACTCAACAGGCACTTGTCCTGCCCACCAAGCCTGGGTGGCTGGGAGGGAAGAGACGGGCAAGGGAGAGAGAGAGAGAGGAACTCCGTTTTTCCTCAAAAGACACCCATCATTCTCTGTCACCTCCAAGTCCCAAGGGCTTTGGTATGAGTTCCCTAAAATCCCAAAGCTAAACGACACTTCACCAGCTCCTGACCTGACCAATGAGGAAACCAAGACCCAGAGAACGCAGACCTAACTATTCTGGTTCATCCAGCAAAGCTCCAGCAGAGCCAGAGTGGGAACCCAGGTACTCTGGCTACAGTGCCAGGCCCAGCATCTCTGACCACTTCAGCACCGCACAGCCCATTCTTAAAATGCTCTGTGGGGTCCTCAAGCTCAGAAGACTTTACAAGACATTCTTTTTATAGGGTAGATGTGGTAAGGCAGCCATGCCTGGAAAAGAAACCCGACATCACCACCTCCCCAGCACCAGGACCCCAGGGTGGCAAAAGGGCTCCTAAAATCAGTAATGGTAGTCGCAGCATTCAAACAGACAGGAAGTATGAGTAGTCAGAACAAGGATTCACCATCTGGGTTTCCTCTCACCAACTTATCTCTTTCCCATGGGATCTAACGGGCCTCCAAGGCTACAAATGCCCTAGGTGACAGTTCAGGATGAAGACTGGAACAGCAGGAAGAATCTCCCCTCTACTCATCCCCAGAAAGCCCAAGTTGGACCAGCTGAGGCAGGGAGAAGCATCTTATTCTCCTTTTGTCCCAAGAAGTGTGAAGACAGGAAAAGTCTTCCCCCTGTCACTGGGAAGGCACCATGCAACCACAGACTTTTACTTCCACGAATGTTCTTATGGGAACAAGTATGGGGGAGGGACTCCCAGCCTAGAAGATGCAAAGGGGGTGTAAGGAGACGTCTTTCTAGTCACCTTAGCAGCACACAATTTTCTTCCTTCATATCCCTGGGATAAGGGATGTAGCACTCCATAGTACCACAATCGGAGAGGAACAATTCCTGACCTTGACCCTGCAAGCCCAGACAATTTATTCTACCTGTAGTAGTAAAAGGTAGAGAGAGCAAGGACAGGGGGCTCAAGACAAGGCCCTGGTCCCTGTGAAGTGCAGAAAGATTTATCTAAATCAAGGGGAAGAGGAATATGGGTAAAGAATTTCCCTCGAGTAGGGATGTCTCCAGGAAGAAGCAAGCTTATTGGAAGCAATTCAGGAGGCTCAGAATATTTCCGATCCTGGAAATGAGAAGCAAACAGAGTTGGGTCAGGGAGAGACTCAAGAGTATCTCTTAGTTCTTGAGGGGAGTCCTCAGCCCTCAAGTCCCCAGTGCCTGGCAACCTTCTCATAGAAAGTAGGAAGATCTTCCCGGCCTGTGGGGGCTCAGATAAGGGGTTCTTATAACTATATAGCACCTGGGTCTTTCTGTTCAAGCCACACTGGAGAGTCCCTCTCCCTGATAAGAAAGGATTGTCTGGTTGTGGGGAGGGGGAGAGGGCCTCATACCCAAGGGGGACTCGGGTCCCTCCTCAAGATAAATGATTTCTGGTCCCTGAGGAGTAGCTTGGGCCCCTGAGTAAAGGCTCAGATTCTTCCCTCAGAATCCTGTCCTATCCAGGTCCCCAAGGGGAGTGGGAAGTTCTCAGAATTTAGTTCACAAACGGTCTGAAGCCCAAGTCCCCAAAGCAAGAAAAATCTTAGGTCCCTCAAAGGGGCCTATAACTGGGGTATACCAATGCTATCTAAAGTGAGGTGACAATCAGTACTTTCAGGACAGATTCAGGTCTCAGGTCCTAAGGTGGGTGAGGTGTCTCATGTACCTGAAAGAAAGTTTAAACTGTTAGGGTGAGACTCAGGACCCTATTCTCCAGGAAGTCTGTGTCCATGCCCCCAAGGGTCTTGGGGTTCAATTCTGAGTCTTAAGGTGGAACGAGACCTCCTGTCCCTGTAGAGAACCTTAAAGTCCTTGAGGGGAAAAGCTCAGACCCCATCTCTAGAGACACACCAGTCACTGGGGGGCACTGACGGATCTCTTGTCCTTGAGGGCAAGCTCAAGTGTCCTTGGCACAATGGGTCTCAGGCCCTTGATCCATGGAAAGACCTCAGGCTCCATCTCTGGGACTCCATGCTGCCCATGTCCCCTGAGGAGTGGTATCAGGCTACGGTTCCCAAAGCAGGGATCTTACATCCCTGACAAAAAGCTAAAGCTCTTGGGGCAGAGGGTACTCAGATCCCCCATGTTTCAGGGGGAGAAGGGGTTTTTTTGCACCCAAGGTATGTTTCAGTTCTTCATAATTAGGGTAGAGGAATTTCATACCCCTATGTTTGTGTGTGTGTGGGGGGGGGTGTCTCAGACCCCCAAGGAGAACACTCAGATACCAATCCCTGAGGAGAAAGGACCTCTAAGACCTCACCTTGCCTGGGACCTCCGTGGAGAGGGGGTATCCATGTCCTGAAGAGGCTTCAGACCCAGTCTCTGCAAGCCCCAGTTCATAAGCAAGAGGCTCTTAGGCTCAAGTACCCAAAACAGTGAGGCTTATTTTCTTGAAGAAAGGCTCAGGCTGGGGAGGTGGGGGAAGAGCTGAAGGTCTATCACTTAAAAGAAGCTTAAGCTCCGAGAAAAATTCAGACTCTTGTCCCCAAGGAGGTCTCAGACCACTGAGAGGAAGCACAGACCCCTGTCACCTGGAAAAGAGATGAATCTCATGTACCCTAGTAGTTTCTGGTCCCTGAGTGTTAGTTTTGGCCCTTGTCCTCAAGGGGAAGGGAATCTTACCTCCCTGAAAACAGTCTTATTTCCCTGAAGAAAAGCTAGAAGATTCCCTTCTCTAAAGGGAATGTGTTTACGTGTGTGTCAGGTGTTTTATTCTAAATGACAGAATCTTAGGCCCTTGAAAGAAGGCTTAGTACCTTTAAGGCACTCTCTGGAATCTAAAGGATTCCACTGGAATCCATGGAATAATCTTGTGTTTACTCTCCCCTGAAAAGGAAGTGGGGGGGGGAGGGTTGTCCTGTATATACTGTCTCAAACTCCTGAAAAAGGTTTAGATATCTTGGGGACACTCAAAAATGCATAAGCTTTCCATTCCACGTTGTGTTCCCTTGAGAAGGTATCTTAGATCCTTGTCCCAGAGGAAAGAAAATCTCAAAACACTGAACGTAAACCAAGGTCCCCCGGAGTCACGAGACTCCCCTCCCCTCTCAGGTGGCATTCCCACTACTGGCCCTACACGAGGACTTCTCAGGGCCCGAAATAATGGCTATGGGTCCCAGAAAAGACCACGGACTCCATCGTTAAGTCGGCCATCTTATCTGGGACTTCTAACCCCCAAGCCCTTGGTGAGAGGCGTGGAAGAGAGTGTCTTAGGGCCCTCGCACCAGAGAAGAATGAATGCATCGGCCCTGAGAGAAGACGTAGGTCCCATGGGGCGACCTCATACAGCCTTCCTTGGGTCCCTACCCAGTCTGGGGATCCCACCCCCCACATTCACTCACCTATCACTCCCAGCCCATACCTGCTCAACGGTTGCAGGGTCCATAGCCTCGATGCGAGCTGCAGCAGCTTCATACTCGTCCTCACTGTTGTAACCCGCGCCGACCTCCTCACGCTCCGGGCTGCCCCCGCCAACCGCTCCGACCCCGGGCGCTTGACGCCGCCGCTTGCTGTGGCCCGGCCCCGAGCAGCAACCGCCCACGCCTACGGTTCCGCCCACGCCCACCACCACGCCCGCCGCGCCCACGCCCGCCGCTGGTGAGCCCAGCGCGTCACCGGGACCACCGCCGGGACCAACAGGGCCCCCGCAAGGAGGAGGAGAGGCCTGCTGTGGTCGCGGACCCGCCACAGCGCCAGGCGGCACGGCCAGCGCCCAGCGGTGAAGCGCTCCCGGCGGCCCCGGTAGCGGGCCCTGCGGCGGTGGAGAGGCCCTGGAACGGGGCCCCACGACGCCCGAGTCACGGTCGCGGTCGCCACCGCCCACACCCGTGCCGCCGCCGCCCACGCCCACACCCCCGCCGCGACGCGGCGCCGGGGGCAGCGGCCCGGGCGGCGGCGGTTCGTTGGCGGGGTCGGCGTCGGGAGGCGGCGGCTTCTTTTTGGGGAGAATAGTCATGGCGGCACCGCCAAGTACCCCCCAGCAAACCCGGCGCGTGGCACGCTGGGAGAAGACCCGGATGAGGGGGCTACTGTGGTGCGCGAAGCACGACGGGATCAGCGGGACCCGGATAAAGAGATTGAGGCACCGGTTCGAGAATCGTCGGTGGCGCGCAGATCACGGGGCAGGAAAACCCGGATGTGAAGTCCTAGATGAAGACACCGCAGCGAGTTTGTCGTAGCCTTCTCTCCAAGTCCAACAGGTTTACTGCTATGCTCGCTCGTTCCGGCCTGCCGCTTCAAAGGAAACAGAACCAAAACAAGCACCTCTTCGCCCCGCCCCCTCGCAGGTTCTTGAACTACCGGGTGGGGCCCCGGGGCGCTGCGCACGCGCGCCGGGGCACAGCCCCGCCTCTCCTTCGGAAGTACGTGGGCAAAATCTTCACTGCCGCCAAAACAATTGCGGGCACCAACCAATCGAAGCAGCTGCGTGGGTCTACGATAACACCCACGGGCCAATCAGAAGCGAGTGATCGCCCTCCAGTGCCCTCCGTCTAAGATTTCAGTCAAAGTCTGCACTCTCGTTCCTTGCCTTTCTTCTGTCGTCCGCCCTGTAGCGCTCTTCTCTTCCCGAGGCTCTGACTTGCAGGCGGAAGTACTGCCACAGGACAGCGTGGCCGACCCCACGCACAACAACTTGAAAGCGCCTCCCTGCCAGGCTTCCAGCCTGGCCGCAGTCAGCCGGACTGACTGGAAAATATCAACACTCCCAGAGCATAGCAATCCCCTGAAGCGTCAGTTCCGGTCCCACCCACCTGCAAGTCCCTGTCCTGCGGAGAGGCGGGCTCCGCTTCACCCTGGCAACAGGCCGAGTTCTGTGGTAATTGGTTAAGAGAAGCCGTCACTAACGTCAGACCGGCCAACCCTGGGACAGACCTGCACCGTGGGGACCTTGGGTGTTTGGAAAGCAGACACGCCCTCTTTGGCACCTATGCGCTCTCGCCCTCGCGTTGACCTCCCCGCCTCGGTAGCAAGTGCGCAAGCGCAGCACAACCTTCCCACTGCACCGTCGTCCCCCCCCCCCGCCCCCGAACTGAGTTTACCTGCCTTGAGCAAAAGTTTATGAACCAGCACTGTCACCAGCCAGCGTCTCTCAATGGGGTGGGTAAAATCCCTGGTAAAGAGCGGCTGGAGAGCTACAAGCTAATCGTAGCTCTGCCCCTCCTGAATGGTCTCTGACAAGTCATTTAACATCCACCCCATCCGCAATTTAAAAAATTTTTATATTTTTAGCAGTAGTCTCTGTACCTAAGGTGGAACTCAAACTCACAACCCTCGAGATCAAGAGTTGCATGCTCTTCCCGCTGAGCCAGCCAGGGCCCCCCATCTGCAATTTCTACTTCTGTAACATGGCAATGATAATTCCAATTTAGAGAATCAAAGAGTAATGCTTGTGAAGGGCATAGTGCTGTGCTTGGCAAATAGTAAGTGCTCAGTAAATTAGGTCTGAATGGCAGTGCAACGAAAAGGATCCCAGGCTGTGGAGTCAGGAACATCTCAGTTCCAGACTCCGATGGACTGTTCCAACTGTATGACTTTGAGCAAGTCATTGTCTCAAATTTGAGATTACCCATGCAAAACGGGAATGATAATGCCTGCCCGGACTACCTCAGGAAGTAGTTACAGGGTTCAGATAAACTTATGAGCCAAGAAGTTGTTGCCAGAGGTGATGGCTTGCTGCCAGTCTCAGGAGTACAACGTGTTGACTGAGAGAGAGATGATCAGAAAGCTCTTCTGAGCGCCACCTGACTTTCTTCCTTTAGATGCCGACCTCGGTTGAGGTCTTCCTTCAGGGGTAATATTCAGGAATATTCTTGAAGGAATAACTACGTAAAGAGTGTTGTGTTTTCTGCTCTGGAGACTTAATGGGAGAGGACTCACGTTTACTAGGCTTATTGTATTCAGGGCACTGTGCCAAATGCCTGTGCATGTTATCACATTGAATCTTCTCCTGAACCTCTCACTTGACATATATATCCCATTTCCTACTGGAGATTTGTCCAGCACTATACACCTAAATGTGAACTTAGGATAATCATGGTAGCTAATCTTCACCAAGTACTTACTATGTGTCTGGCACTGTGTGTGAACAGTTTTGATCTTCCTTTTGACAGTGAATGACACCTCCATTCAGCCTTTGCCCAAGCTAGAACCTGCGAGTCAACCCTGCCTGCTCCCTCTTTAACTCCCACATGCCTGTCAATCCCAAGTCTTGCCAACTCTACCTCTCAAATCTCTTGACTCCTCAACTCTTACCAGCACTACGTAGTCCAAGCCACCATCACCTACCAATTGGACTACTGCAAAAGGCTCTTCACTGCTCTTCCTGCCACCAGGATTATTTCCTTAGAATCCACTCTCCATAGCCAGAACCATCCTTCTGAAACGCAAACCTCATCACGACTTTCCTATTTATAATCCTGCAGAGGTCCCCGTTATCCTTAGGTTGAAGTCCACAATCTGTATCATAACTTCAAAGGCTTTTTGTGAGCCGGCCTGATCTCTACATCCTTGCTCTCATCACAGCCTCACTCTCTCCTCCCCAGCTGTACTGAACTTGTTTAAGTTCCCCCAAGGGCCCTGGGCTTGCTCTATAACCTCTAGGTCATTATACATGCTGTTCCCTCTGCCTGAAACGTTTTTAGCCTTTTGCCTGGACAACTCCACCTCATTCTTTGGGTGTTGGCTGGCGTAGGCCCCCCGCCATCTCCTTGCATGCTTTTGCAATCCCATCGATTTTAGTTCTACAACACTATATTGTGATTGCTTAACTGTCTGCCTTCCATGCTCACCTCTGGAGATCAGAGACAATGTCTTCTTTACCCATCTTTGTATCCCTAGGGCTACCCTGTGATATGCAGTTAATAAATATTTGGTGAGGGCACCCAGGTGGCTCAGTCGGTTAAGCATCCGACTTCAGCTCAGATCATGATGTTGCGGTTCATGAGTTCGAGACCCCGTTGGGCTCTGTGCTGACGGCTCAGAGCCCGGAGCCTGCTACGGATTCTGTGTCTCCCTCTCTCTCTGCCCTTCCCCCAGTGGTACTCTGTCTTTCTCTCAAAAATAAATAAAACATGAAAAGAATGTTAAATAAATATTTGGTGAATTATTATGTATGTTTTGTATTATATTTGGTAATTGTTATTTCATAGATTAGCAACCTGAGGCAAGAGAAGTTTTAAAGTGACTCTCTCACCCAGGGATTGGAACCCAGCTTAACCCAGATCCAAGGTCTGTCTTCTCAGTGGTCCACAGAGCTCAGTGACACACTAGTCTGGTGTAGCCAGTAGCCCAGAATGTAGGGGATGTCCACAAGGAAGGGAAACTTGCCAAAGTAAGAGATACGTTTTTTTTTTCCTTTTCTTTTTTACTCTTGAGTTCTTTTTGTTTTTTTAAAGTAAGGTCTAGGCCCAATGTGGGGCTTGAACTCACGACCCCAAGATCAAGAGCCTCATGTCCTACTGACTGAGCCATCCAGGCGCTCCTAAGAGATGCTCTTAATTAGGGTCCAATTCAGAGCTGTTTGCTGTCAGGAAACTCGGGTTTAAGTCTCCTCTAACCTAGCATGTGCTGCTCTGGGTCTCGGTTTCCCCATCTATGAGTGAGAAAGCTGGAGCAGAAGATGTCCTAGGGGCATGTCTCAAGATTTCCAAGCCTGCCTCACTGGCTGTAGATTCAACTCTTCAAGCCACCGTCTTTAATTTCTCCTAGATCCCCTAGATCCCCATTATCCGGAACACGTCATCAACCATTGATCTCCCATACCTGTACCCACACCAGCCCTTCTCCTAGTTGAAAGGAACTGAAACCAGAGTACTTTCAACCCACCCCCCCACCCCCCAGCCCAATCCAGCCTCCAAACCCACAGAGCCAGGAGGTGCTCATCCTCATCTCTCCTCTCAGGTTTTATTGACTGATGGAAACTACATCTTTGTCAGCCACCAGTTCCATGGGGACAGTGCTGGGGACAGGGAACCTGAGATGATGCCAGATTTCAGCCCAAGAGCAGATACAGAGTTCCGGAAGGTGACCCAAGAGGGAAAAGAGAGAGGAATATGTGAAAAGGCATTGTGGGGGAGGAGGAGGAGGAGATCAAGAAGTCCCTTCTGCTTCCTACAACTCCCAGAGTTCAGGAACAACCCAGGCCTCAGCCCCTGATGCTTCTGGACTCCTGCCCAAGAACATGGAATCAGCCTATGATCTCCAAATACAGCCCAGCTCTCGCTGGCTGCTAGGCTCTTATCTCAGTCAGTCCAGGCTCCAGCCCAACCCAGGAAGGAAGCAAACCAGAGAAGAGAGGAGTAGTACTTAGAGGTGGCCCCTCTGATTAGGGCAGATGTAAATGCTGCAGCAAACTGGGCAGAGGCTTTGCATAATGTCACGGCAGCAGCTGCTATTGCTAGAGTTTGCTGGAGGCCCAGTGGAGGACGGGGTTGCAGGGACCCATTTCCAGCAGCCAGGAAAGGGGAATGGAACTTGTGCTATCTGTGTGTATTGGAAGAGGCAGCCTGACCCCTGAGTCAAGGCGAGGAGTGGGGGGTGGCGGGTCACTGCTGAGGCCACAGCCCATGAAGCCTGTGGTTGCATTCCGAGCTTCAGAATCGGGGAGTTGTCGGGCTTGGTGGAGGGTGGGGACCTCCCCTAGAGGCCAGAACAGAGGTGAAGGTTCTCTTCTCTGAACCCCCAAACCTCCACAGCCCAGCCAGAGAGAAGAGGGAGTCTCACCTCTCCTCCTCAGGCCAGAGCTCAGATGTCAGGTGGGAGCCTGGGACACAGAAGAGGAGCATGCAGGAGGCCTGCTAGGAGAGAGAGGCCAGCCCCAGTGTGCTGGGGCAAGGAGGGCAGGGGGGCTGAGGAAGCCCAGCACCTCAGCGCCCACTGGAACAGCCGTCTGTGGTGGGAAAAGTTGCCCCCTTCCCTGGCCACTTCCCCACCAGGTGAGCCATTCCATGAAACTCCATTGCATAGTTCTCAGTGGGGGGCAGAAGGGGTCCCCAGGCCTGCCCCTCCCCACCTCCCCAAAATATGGCTTTGGAAAGGAGTCCCCAAGAATCGAGAGGGCCCTCTGGATGGGTGGGCCCACTGCTCACAGGGAAGAGATCTTGACAGTCTCCGGGAGGAGGCAGGGGGTACCCACGCTGGAGTTCCTGAGGGTGCTGCTGGCCCCACCGCCATCACCAGGGGAGGAAGGCTGACTTTCATCTGGGGTGTTGGCAGGAGGGGTGGGGATACTGATGATGGCAGCCACGAAGTCCCGGCTGTCGCAGTTCAGGTCAAGGCAGTCATGGGGCTTGGCATTGAGGCTTGAACGACTGTGGATAAGGGTGGGGAGGCAGAAGGTTCTTAAAAGGTCATCTTAATACGTGCTACAGTGATCATGACATTTACTGAGTGCCAACTGAATCGCTGGCCCTGTGCTAAATGCTTTGCCTGCACCCTCACTTATGGTGGTGCCCAGTGAGGGCTCTGGGGTCAGACGGTCCTGGGTTCAAATCCTGATCTCATTTTAGCATCTCTAAACCTCTCTCCTCTCTTTCATCTGTAGCATGGTAACAACACCATTTTCTACCTCATAAGGTCATTGTGGAGATTAAATGAGATGGTAAGTGATCCAAAGTGCTCAGAGTAGTGCCCGGAACAGAATGAGCACACATTCAAAAACATTCTGTTTCAGTTACTCCTTCCGATGCCAAATCCTCACCACAATCTGTAGCAACATCTACACAATCTTGTCCCTGTTCCTTTCTGCTTTTACTTCCTACCACTTTCCCTCTCATTCACTCCACTCCACTCACAGTAGCTTCCTGGCTGCATCTCTAACATGCAGGCCCATTTCTGCCTCCGGGCCTTTGCACAGGCTGTTTGCTCTGTCTAGACAGCTCTTCCTCTAGACATCCACATGGCTCCCTCCCTCGCCTCCTTCAGTTGTTACCTCAGCAAAGCCTTCCCTGACCACATTATTTAAATTGCATCACACCCTCTTCTTTTTTTTTTTACAACTAGTTTATTGTCAAATTAGTTTCCACATAACACTCAGTGCTCATCCCCACAAGTGTCCTCCTCCATGACCATCCCTCCTCCCCCCCACATCCATCAGTCCTCAGTTTTTGTCAGCATTCAAGAGTCTCTCATGGTTTGCCTCTCTCCCTTTCCCCCACCATTTCCCCCCTTCTTCTCCCCCTTGTTCCTCCATCAAGTTCCTCCTAATCCTCCTATACGTGCAAACATATGATATTTGTCCTTCTCTGCCTGACTTATTTCGCTCAGCATAACACCCTCAAGGTCCATCCATGTGGCTACACATGGCCAGATTTCATTGTTTCTCATTGCCATGTAGTATTCCATGGTATAGATAAACCACATCTTCTTGATCCATTCATCTGTTGATGGACACTTAGGCTCTTTCCATGTTTTAGCTATTGTGGAGAGTGCTGCTATGAACATTGGGGTACATGTGCTCCTATGCCTCAGCATTTCTGTATCCCTTGGGTAAATTCCTAGCAGTGCTATTGCTGGGTCATAAGGGAGTTCTATTGTTAGTTTCCTGAGGAACCTCCACACTGTTTTCCAGAGGGGCTGTACCAGTTTACATTCCCACCAACAGTGTAGGAGGGTGCCCGTTTCTCCACATCCTCGCCAGCATCTAGAGTTCTCTGATTTGCTCATTTTAGCCACTCTGACTGGCGTGAGGTGGTATCTCAGTGTGGTTTTGCTTTGTATTTCCCTGATGAGGAGGGATGCTGAGCATCGTTTCATGTGTCCGTTGGCCATCTGGATGTCCTCTTTGGAGAAGTGTCTGTTCCTATCTTCTGCCCATTTCTTCACTGGGTTGTTTGTTTTTCGTATCACACCCTCTTCTATGCTCTCTGTCCCTGATCCTCGATTTATTTTTCTTCTTGGCACTTAACACACTGTATCATCTGTGTGTTTCTTTCTTTATTAACTGTCTCATCCTACTAGAATATAAACTCCAGAAGGTGAAGGATTTCTGTCTGCTCTCTGGTGGCCTAAAGTGAATTCAACTCCTAAACTCCCAAAGTGAACTCCAAAGTGGCTAAAATTATGCCTGGTATGTAATAGGTGCTCAATAAATGTTTGTTAAAAAGAACCAATGAGGAGCAAGTTCCAGACAAGATAGGCCAAAGCTCCCGGCATAGAGGAGTTTGGGTTCGGGCTTGGCTTGCTAGGCCCCACGTCATGAAATCTCAGACCCCCTGGTCCAAGCTCTGAGCTTCCCCAGGGGTAGCTAGCAGGTGACGGTGCTTACCTCTGAGGGGCAGGACTCCTCCGCAGCCCTGCCAGTGTGTCCAGCTCCTGCATGCTGCCACGACTGACTGAGGCAGTGGAGTTGGCAAGGCGAATGGCACGGCGCTTGGCCCTGCGGGGGCAGCAGGAGGACAGCAGGCTGCCGGGTCCCGCCGGCTGGGAGGACACAGAGGTGCTGCGGCTGGTGCAGCCCCCCAGTGAGTCGGCGCCCACAGCCTCACTGAAGGTCAGCTCATCTGTGAACTCGTGGCACTATAAGCAGAAGGAAGGCACGGTCACAAAGCACCACGCAGGACCTGACCCCACCCTCAGGCCTTTGCTTAGGCTGTTCCTTCTTTTCCAGAAGTCACTCTCGATTCCCTTCCCTTGCCCATCCTTCAAGGCTCAGCTGTACCAGGGTCTCTTTCGGGAAGCCCTTTGTGATTTCCACAATTAGTAGTGAGGCTCCCATCCCAGGGAGGGAACGGGCTTGCCCGCAGAGGGACTCCCCTCATTCCACCATGCCCCCTCTCATGAGGTCTCACCGTTGTCTTCTCCAGACAGTGCAGGAGGTGGTGATGTTGTTGCTCGAAAGCAGAACGGTTCCTGACACACAGCGCCTGTTCATCCACACTGCTACTGTCCTGGAGTGGATGGAGCAGGGGGCTGAGGTCAGGACCCTCTCCTCCTCCCATCACTGCTCACCCCCAACCCCAGTTCAGGCGCCGCCCCACCTCAAGGCACCCGTTCTGCTTGTACTGCAGGAAGGCATTGGTGGTACCACTCTTTGCCAACCGGATCCTTGCCAAACGCACCTTCTACAGAGAGAGGAGGAGACAGAGGGTCAGGTGGGTAAACACAAGAGTAGACTGGCTTGGGGTGTGGGGAACAGTAGGTACGCAGATGGAAGGGGCAGTTACCTGCTGTGCTCGGCGCTTGTCAGCACGCTGGTTCTGGTGGTAGATGCGGCTAAAGTTGGACACAATGACTGGCACAGGCAGTGCAATAACCAGGACGCCACTGAGGGAGCAGATGGATCCAAAAATCTTGCCAGCAATGGTGCTGGGCACCATGTCTCCGTAGCTGGGGCCAGGAGAGGTAAGCCAAGGTCAAGAAAAGTGCTCACCCACCCCTCAGGCTCCCACTCCATCCCATCCAGCCCGACGTACTCTGCAACCCTGGCCAGGCACTGAAAGTTTCTGAGCCTCAGTTTCCTGTTCTGCAAAATATGGGGAAAGTCCTCACTGGCTAACAATGGGGGGGTGTCAAATGAGAAACTGGCCCTCGGCCCCTACCATCTGCTGCCCCCATCTGAGCTGCACACCGAGCATCTGAGTCAGCTGGAAATCTATTAATACCAAGTAGAGGGGAGAAGGAGGAAGTCACAGGCAGTAAATATAGTCTCCTGGGGAGAGAGTCCCAGCACCACAAGCCAGCTGAGGGGCTCTGAGTCGTGGGAGAAGTGCTCTGTTGGTTTTGCTTACATCTGTCTTACCTTCTCTAAGTAGGACCCCTTCTTATTCTCCCAGAAAAAAAGCCTTGAAACTGTTCTTATATGAAAACATGGGGGGGAGCCTTGAAACTCTGTCCTTCTTGTCTCCATGCCACCTCCTCTCCCATGGAGATGGAACAGTGCCAGTCTAACCAACTTGTTTCACGGGATGAGGGCGGAGGGACCAAAGCCCAGGGAGATTCTGTAAGTGACTGGCTCAGGATCACACAGCATACTTTTTTTCTGAGCATGGGACCAATTAGATCCCCTCCCCTCTGCGGTCCCAGCTTCTAGGCCTTAGGTCAGTCCGTGTTCCCCTTCCCCCAAGGATGGCTGTTCCTTATTTCTTTGTTTTGACTCATTTAAAAGTCTCTCCAACTTGGCCATTTCTGGTCTGTGATGTGTCATCTCAGACTGTGTCCTCAATTATGAGACACAGGCAGCTGTCCACCCTCCCGGGTGTTGCTGTGAGGACTCAGTAGGGTAAAAGGCACCCAAATACCCAGTTCCAACCCGCTCTCAGGTCTCGGCATTTGTTTGTCGATCCAATTTTGAACCTCCAACCAGCATTACTTTCTAGTCCATACAAACCTCAAATCATTTTTTTTTCTATACCTCTGTTAAAGCACTGATCAAGCCCAATCCATCTGTTCAACAGCTACTGAGTAGCAACTGTATACCTAATCCCAGTGATGGAAATTGAGAGGAACATGGTATCTGTCCTAGACAATGTCTTTAAGAACAACACGAGTTTGGTGATTCTGTTTGATGCTTTTATCCCAAATGTTTCCTCTCAAGGATTGGCACTTAAAAATAATGTCGAAAACACGTTGTCCTGGAGAACATCAAAGAATCACAAAGCCACAGGGGTAGTACCCTCATAACAGCAGATGATTCTAGAGGTTTGGGAGACATGGGTCCTCAAGATGGGAAAAGGAGGTGATAGAAAGCCAGTACCTATGTATCCTACACCAGAAACTTTCGGAGAACTTTCACAACTTTCACAACAAACTTTCAGTGATGTCACTGAATCCCCTCTAGATAATGAAGGGATCGTCATGTCTCATTTGACACAGGGGATAACAGGCCCAGAAAAAGCAAGGTCAACAGAAAGAGTGCAGCTAAGACAATCCTTGAACCCAAGACTCCTGACCTGGAAAGTGAAGGCATTGTCAGAGCTGCGAGGGATTTGGGGATTAGTCCAACTCCCTCCGTTTTGACAGATGAGCAAACTGAAGTGCACATTAAGGAAAAAACCTTCCCAATCTTTTTTTTTTTTTTTTTTTTTGAGAATGAGAGAGAGAGAGAGGTAGCTTCCGCTGGTGCGTGCAGAAGGGGGGAGGGGCAGAGAGAGAAAGAGAGAATCCCAGCGAGGAGCTCCATGTGGGGCTTGAACCCATGAACCATGGGATCGTGACCTCAGACGCTTAACCGACTGAGCCACCCAGGCACCCCTCTAACCTTAAGCTTACAGAAAAGGGTGAGTGTAATTGATCAGGCAGCTCCCAACGCAGGGTCTGCACTCACCCAAGCGTAGTCATGGTGACAATGGTATACCAGAATGCCGCAGGGATGCTAGTAAAGTTGGTCTTGTTTGTGCCTTTCTCGGCATAAAACATGACAGTGGCGAAGATGATGATGGCCATGGTAAGGGAAAAGAGGAGAAAGCCCAGCTCAGAGGCACAGCTCTTGAGTGTGTAGCCCAGAATCCGCAAGCCCTGTGAGTGCCTGGAAAACTTGAAGATGCGGAACACCCGGAACACACGCAGGGTAACAAAGGCGCCTGAGACATCCTCGTTCTTGGGCACGAAAAGCCCGATGTAGTAGGGCAGGATGGCCACGACATCGATAAGGCTCATTACGCTCCGCAGGAAGCGGCAGCGGCTGGGGGCGGCAAACAGCCGCAGGAGGTATTCACCCGTGAATATGAGCACACAGGCCGTGTCCATGCAGAAAAAGGCCAGTGGGAAGCGGTCGCCACAGGGCTGCTCCCTCGGGGGCCGCCGCGCGGGGCCGCGGCACGGGATGGTCTCGACCACATTGGCGATGACCGACACGGCAATGAAAAAGCCGGTCACATAGTAGAAAACGAGCGCCGCTGTGCTCGTGTGTGGGTTCTCGAAGGCCCGCCAGAGCCGCTGCCGCAAGGAGCTGCCGGCAGGCAGGGCTGGGCCTTCCCCGGCCTGCTCGGCTTCCTCGTCCTCCGCCAGGCGCTCGGCGTTCTCTTTCTTGCGGTCCCGGTACTCTTCGAGGCAACAGTCACCCACGAGCTCAGGCACCAAACCGTAGAAAGCCAGCTCCTCATCGAAGGCCTGGATACACTCCTGCCGCGGGCAGTGCAGCCTACCCGTGCGGTAGAAGTTCAGAACATGACGGAACATGTCTGGATCGCGATCGAAGAAGTACTCGCCGGAATCAGCGTCATAGAAGAATTCCTTTTCAGAACTACCCAGCAGGGTGTCTGGGTAACGGTCCAGAGTGTTCTTCCAGGTCTCAAAGCGCCGTCCGCTCACGTTCACCACCAGAACCTCATCCCCTCGAGATGCCTTCACCCCAGGCGCAGGGGGCAGGGGCTGCTGGGCCAAGGGCAACCAGCCCACCGCGGCCGCCCTCGCAAACGGCAGCCACGTGGCCACACCTGCTGCCATCCTGCCGTGCCCCAGGCCCACGGAGACTGGGGGGGGGTGGCCTTTAGGAGAGTGTGGCTGTCTCCAGGATGGTGGGAACTTGGAGAGGCCTTGGGCCACTCGCACAAGCAAACTGGGGGTGTCTACAGAGGCCAAGAGGAACCGGGAGGAGGAACTAGAGAGATGGGCAGGGGGTTGGGGGGCATTTAGAGGGTCTGGGAGGGACCTGAGGGATGTCTTGAGGGAACTACGGAGAAGGGGCTAGGGGGGACATGGAAAGGAGCAGTAAAGGGAAGCCTAGAGGGGTCAAGAAGGATCTGAGATGGTTCTAGAGGGGTCAGCAGGTGCCTGTGAGATGTCTGGGGTGTCTAGGAGGGACAAGAAACGCTGGGGACCTGTCCACACTCTCAAGAGTTCTGAGGGAAGATGGGGCTGGGACCACTTAGTGGGCTTGGAGAGAGGATTGGCGCATCCAGAGGGCTAGAAATGGGACCAGAGGTGTTTGAAAGAGGCTGAGAGTGGCTGGGTGGGGGGCGGGGGGCGGATCTGGAGGGACTAAGAAAAGTGAGGCGTGTTGTCCACACCCTCAAGACTTCTGGGGAAAAGATTAGGGGATTGGAGCTCCCTTGTGGATCCAGGAAAGGGGTTGGTAAACGTAAGAGGTGGCTGTAGAACCAGGAGGTTGTAAAGAGGCTGAGAGGTGTCTTGGGAGCGCCTAGAGCTGCCAAGAATAGCCTGGGGGGTGTCTACACTGTATAGGAGTTCTGGGGAAGGAAGACGAGGTGGGGCCCCCTAGACGGGCTAGAGAAGGCAGTAGGGTATCTAAAGGGGTAGATAGGAGGCTAGGTTATCTTTCAGAGACTGAGAGGTGTCTGGGAGAGAGACGTATGAGGGGATGCTGAGAAAGTGGTCCGTCCTCTTGAGAGTTCCAGGGGGAGGAAAGGGGCCCGAGAAAGCCCCCTGGGGCTCAGTTGGAAGTTGGGAACAGCCCCAGCGCACCCAGAGGATGGAAAAAGACTAAGAGGAGGGGGTCCCCCGAAATGGCTTGGAGAGTGGGGTGGGGTGTTGAAAGGGTGTTTGGTGTGTCTCCAGGGAGGGGGCTGGTGGGCCTCGCAGGAGGTGGATGGGGGAGGCCGGGATAAAGCTGCGTCCCACCGTTGGGGGCTGGTCTGGGGAAACCACACCCCGAGGGGCTGGCGGTGTGTGCCGGGCAGCAGCAATAGCAGCAGCGGCAGCAGGAGGAGGAAGAGGAGAAGCAGCCACAGCCAGGCCTGGGAGAGGAGAAGGCAGCACAGGCAGGGGGAGGGGGCTGGGTCCCTGGAAGGACAAGGTCCAGCAGAACCCCTGGGGACTATCCCAGGATGGGCTAGGGTGTGGGGGCTGGACCAGGGAAGGACAAGGACAGCGCTGTTGGTGGCCCCCTCCCCCTCCCAAAGGGCCGTCCTCACCTGTGTCCCCGCTGCAGCAGCGGCAACAGCGGTGGGGCTGGGGGTACCAAACACCGGAGCTCCTGCCCCCCTCTGCAGAGCTGCCCGAGTTCTCCTTCTCCTCTGGCTCTCTCTCCCCGCCCCTCTGAGCTTGCCGGGAGATGGAGAGAGAGGCAGGGAGGGGCCTCGTGGCTCCCAGAGCCCCCTCCCCTAGGACAGCCTGAGAGGGACCCTGGGGAGACTCCGCCTCCTACAAAGCTGGTTGGGCCTCAGTCGCGTCATCTGGAAAATGGGGGTGGCAGGGACCTTTGCCAGTTCTCCCCACCTCCTTCCTGGACTTCCCCCTCTTCCTGCCCAGCTCCTACCCCCTCTGCCCCCAGGGGCCCCCGCCCCCACCCGTCTGAATCAGCAGCACTTAGCAGATCCGATCGATGGGGAGGCGTCTGTTAATGGCCCCAGAGCGGAGTGCCATGGGGAATGATGCAGCGCTGTGTCCCCTCCCTGCCCCCATGCTGTAGAAGGGCTGGAGAAGGGGGTGGATGGAGGGACTGGCGAGGGGCATTTCTCTAGATGGTCAGGCCCCCAAAGCTGCTCCCTGGGGGGGGGTTAGATCCCAGCTCTGACCAAGACTATTGCTGTGGGATTGGAGCACCATCCTGTTTTCGGATGTGAAGTGGGGGTAAGGGGAGTCCAGACAGCACAAGCCAGGTTGCACCCCCATACCAGGTTCTCTCTCAGGCAGGCCCCACTCTGAGGGGCAGTCTCCCTCATCCGTCTGCGTCCAGGAGCCTTCTGAATTCATGCCTCTTCCCCTAGAGGACTCTGCTCCTGGATGGCATAGAGCACTGGGTACCAAAGGCACCAGGCATGGATGGGTTCAAAGCCCAGCTTTGCTACTGACTTGTGTCCCTGAGCAAGTGACTTGCAATGTATCTTCAGTTGTCAGATGGAGAGTTACCCCAACTTTATAGTGTCGTTAGGAACATTAGGAGTGATGTGAAAGGGAATGGCACAGAACAAGGCACAAAGGTGAGGCCTCGTTTTTAGTAATTAAAGATGTGGGGGGGGGCACCTGGGTGGCTCAGTCAGTTGAGCACCTGACTCTTGGTTTTGGCTCAGGTCATGATCTCAGGGTTTGTGGGCTCCACGTTGGCAGTGTGGAGCTTGCTTGGGATTTTCTCTCTCCCTCTCAGCCCCTCCCCAGCTCACACACTTGTGTGCTCTCTCTCTCTAAATAAACATTAAAAAAATAAAGGTGTGGTGAGTTGGGGAGCAAAAGGCCGGGCCAATTTTTCACTTTTCAGTCTAACCCTCACACATAACCCTCAGTTTGCCCACTCATCACACTCCCAATCTGTCCATTTCTCCATCCCTGCACCCATTCACCACACACCTGTCCATTCATTATCCCACCCACACAACCAAATGCTTTACCTATCCCTCCACTCACCCACTCACTCACCCATTTGTATATTCACCCCATCCACCCATTTGCCAACCTATCCTTATGTACCCTCTGCACCTGTCTATCTGTCCATCCATAGCCCTGCCCCTCATTTATTTACCTACTCTTTACTCTTCCTCATCCATCCATCCATTCCCCTAGCCATCCATCTCTCCACTTATATCCCCGACCTATCCATCTAGTCATCCAGTCGCCTATCCATCCGTCCATTTATTTCTCAACCTATCCATCACCGATCCATGCAACCTTCCACTTATTTATCCATCAGTCCATCCAACCACTTATCTATCCTCTCATCTGCCCACTCATCCACACCCACACCCCATACACATCCACCCACATACATATCTGCCCAAGTTTCCATTCCACTCAGTTTGAGGGGCGGGCCCACAGTGATTGGAGACAGCTGGGTGAAAGTGGGGAAAGGGGTGTAAAATTGTAGCCAGAGACCACCCTCGTCATGCCAGAGACCTCCCTTTCCATTCCAATGGTGTGACCTCCCTATCCCCAGCACATCCCTCCTGGTTGGAAAGAATGAGAGTAGACAGTCAGTGGGTGGGCCCATCTGGCCAGATGGTATTTTGGCTGCAGCCTTTACACACACACACACACGTTGCTAGAATGCTGAACATGGACCGCGCCCCACCCAACATCCCCAATCCCAAATGCAGAGTAGCCAGGCTTCCAGACATAAATTTAAAAAAATAAATAAAATAAAAAAGAGTTGGTCTCTGGGGAGGGAGAGCTCATGCAGAGATGAAGGCAAAGGCCCCTGGGAGCCAGGGCCAAGAAAGAGGAGAAATCCCTGCCCCTCCCCTCAGGATCCCTACTCCCCAGGGGCTTCTGCCCTAAAACAGGGTCATCAACACCAGCCATCAGGCCTCCAACCCCTTTATTTTTATTTTTTTAAATTTTTTTAATGCTTTTTTATTTATTTCTGAGAGAGAGAGACAGCATGAGCAGGGGAGGGTCAGAGAGAGAGGGAGACACAGAATCCGAAACAGGCTCCAGGCTCTGAGCTGGCTGTCAGCACAGAGCCCGATGCGGGGCTCGAACCCAGGAACCGTGAGATCATGACCTGAGCCGAAGTCGGACGCTTAACTTACTGAGCCACCCAGGCGCCCCTCCAATCCCTTTAATGTCCAGTCTTCCAACCTATTTGATTTTGGCGGTCCCATTTTCCCACCGAAGCCCAAGGGAATGGTTTCCTGGGGGGTGGGGAGGGGAGGGAGTAGGTGCAGCTCGCAGGTCTTTAGCTGGTTTCTCGTGGTTCTAGGTCTGGGTCAGGTGACCCCACGCACTCCTTGCTGAGCCGCACAATTTCCTGGGAGAGAACTTCGATGTCCTATGAAACAAACGAGCCATCAGGGACCAGAGGAAGCAGCAAGGGAAGCTCCCTCACGAAGCCTGGGGTGTCATCCTTCTCATCGCATTAATCAATCCCCAGCTATGTCTAGCCTGGCACAGGCAGGTATTTGGAGAGGTTCACAGAACCCCAGCAGTGGGCTGGGCTTGGAAAAGATAAGTGTCAGGGGGAGGGAGGAAGGAGCCTCCTAGGTGAGGGGACCCAGGGATATGAATATAAGCACGGCTCACCAGCTGTGCACAGTGCAGCTGGAGAATACAACCCTCACCTTGCCACCATCTTTTCTACTAAATGGTGAACTCACTTCTCAGAGGGAGGGGGGCTGGGTCTGTATCCTTTCTGACTCCCCCAGAAATGGGGGAAATATGTAGGGGGCAGGATGGGCAAGTAGGCGTGTGGGTGGATGCATGGGGGGATCCATGGTAGGCAAACAGGTGGACAAATGGACTGTCAGGAGGACAGATGGAAGACAACAGGTGGGCAGGCAGGTCGCTGGGCAGGCGGGTAAAAGGTAAGACCAGGGGCGACTGATGAGTAGGTTAAGAGGGAGAGAGGGGTATATTAGGAAATGGGTGAAAGACATAGGGAAGATCATTAGATTGGTAGGGGGCAGGTGGCCAAATGGGGCGCACTGATGGGTGAGTTGGGTGAATGTGTGTATGGACAGATGGAAGAGTGAAAGAAAAGGTGAGAGAAAGTAAGTTGACTGACTGACTTACTTTCAGTAAGCTGACTGAGGATGGAGGTGTGATCAGTGAATGGG